CCATGTAAAAGGGAAAGAATAGGCTGTGCAGCACAATGTATTGATCGGTGCACACATGAGTGCAGAAGGGGCCACAACCTCAACTATACAAAGGAACTAGGAGGTCGGCCCAAGACACAATATACACGTACACAATATATTCAACAAGTACAAAATGAAATTCTTAACTAAAAAGGCAAAAATGTACCATTGTACACAGATTTGAAAACAAAATTTCAGCCTATATAGAAATTTCTTTGACATATAGAAGTTCTTTGCACGGACATAAAGATGCACAAAGTACAAAATATGAATAAATTTATTTGCAACTCCGCAGCACATGTCAATTATTTGACACAAAAACTGGATTGGGTAGGGAAGAGAAGAACGAGGGTATGTATGGGGAGGGAGTCACCTCTGCATGGCGAGGGAGGCGGATCTGGAAGTTGCTGACTAGAGAGGCGGATCTGGAAGTTGCCGACCACGAAGGCAGATTTGGAATTTGCCGAGCAATCAGACGGATCTAGACGTCGCCCGCAGGGACGGTGGCCCTTGACGGCAGGGGTAGGGGGCGCTCAATGCCGAAGTGGGACTAGATTGGGAGGGAGGCGACAGACAGAATAGGACGGACGGTACGGGGGAAGTGGCGGCGCTGGACGGGGGCGGTTGAGCCATCGTGGGAGCGGGACAAGTAGCATGATGGGGGCACAAATCATGCGAAAGACACCTCGAGAGCAAAATATTCGCGTGCTTGTCACACCCCAAATGAAAAAACCACGTGCCTCGGAAGCGAAAGTATCTTCGGGTCCTGCATAGGTATCTTCCTGACAGCCATGTACACGTTCCTGAATTTGTGCAAAGTGATTCGTGATTTGAATATACTACTGACGCAAACGTTCCACTCCATTCCTGAATGTTATTCTCATCCTTGAAGGTCATTATCGAGAACGTCAGGACCGTAACCACCTTTCGCCTCGGCTGAACATCCTCATCAGGAACAGGCACACATTCTTGAAGAGGCTTCGGGGCGATAACGAAGGTGTCTAAAGCATCACCAAAAACTTAGTTTCGGGTACTGAATTTGGGTTGGTAAAATTATCTCTAGTAAAATCATCTTTAGGTTTTTAGCAAGCATCTTTTGAATTATATCTACTACGGTGTCATTATACCACCTCTGTTATTTCCCTCTAGTTTGTCACGCTGGAGACTTCCTGTGTAATCTTTGGACGAACGAAATGCCAATATTTCTTGTAGAAGATTGCATACAAACCGTCATGGCCTACGGCTTTGAGATGTGAAAATAGTGCGCCTCACTTCATCCTCCATAGGTGAATCAGTTGTTCATTTAATTATTTAGAAACTCACAGGAGAATCTTTTCAAATAATCAAAGATCAGTTTTCTGATAGTGAGAAATGTTGCGACATGATACTAGATCCTACACGTTAGCGTGAAAGAACATGTTAAAAATTATATTACCAACCATTTCGGAATTCTACAATGTTCCGGTCCTTTTTGGCTCTAAACTATTTTCTCACTGCGATTGTGTTAGAAACTCAGTTTATAGCCATGGTTAATATCATTTAATCGAGCACGGTGCATCCATTCAGAAATATCATTGTAACATTCCAATTATCGGCCCTACAATAACAAGGGTCATGCATCATTTATATAATACTTTGTTTACCGATGACCCTATCCATAATATTTTGTTAAACCATACTGACCCAACCATGTTTATTTTTGCAAGTGCGCAATCTCTCAATACTTTAGAGATTTCGAGGAGTGAGATTAGCGACTGCGTAGTGGAAGATGTTGCACAAATACTGTCCAAGGTTACATTCCTGGATGTAAGCAGCTGCACATAGATTGGTGCCAGTGCTCTTGATGCATTTGGCAATAAATAGAAATCCCTCGTCAGACATGGCGAGTCATGCACCCCATAGATGTCCTTGCAAAGGTGTGACAGAATGACGAGGCCCATTCTATAGGAAGCAACATGCCAAAGCTCCGCCACCTCTAGATAGGATACATGCTCATTAAGACTAAGGTTGTCATCTAGATCGCCTCCCAGTGCCTTGACCTCAAGTTATTATTTCCACATTGTTGCCGGACGTCGAGGATAAGCTCTTGCAAGAGAAGTATCCTTGGCTGAAAAACCTCAGCGCGACTGCTATGAGAACCACATCTGCGACGAGTGCACCGATTACTTGGATGATGATTACATCTATTCATGGGACCAGTTCATGGATGGTGCAAACTTCGTAGATGCGGTTCTCATGACGTCCATGAAATTTTGCATGAGTAGATCTATTCATCATCCGAGTCACCAGTGCAATCCTCCCTGAAGCAGTTCTGATAGCAGTCGCCACATGGGCCCAAGGGTTTTAAGCGTAGGAAACTTATCTTGCAAGAGCTTATCATCGACATCCCAACAACCACGCCAATCTAAGCACTTGAGGTTATTGCACTCGGAGGCGATCTTGACAACAACTTAGTCTTAATGAGCATGTTTCATATCTCGAGGTGTCGGAGCTTTGGCATTTTGCTGGCAGAAGCATAGACCTCATCATTCTGGCAAACCTTCCCAACAACATCAATTGGGTGCACGACCCGCCGAAGTATGATGAGGGTTTTGCAGTTCTTGGGAAATGGCTACAGAGCATGGGCGCCAATCTTGGTGCAACTGCATACGTCCACGAATGTAACCTTGGGAAGTCTTTGTGTAAGATCTTGTCTGCAGTCACTGATCTCGCTCCTCGGAATCTCCAAAGTAAGATTGCACACCTGAAAAAGCAAACACCGTAGGGTCAGTAAGGTTTAACAAAAAAATGTTGATAGGGTCATTGGTAAACAAAGTATTATATATATGATGGATAACCATTGTTCTAGTAGTGCCCATAATTTGATCTAACAAAACTATCATCAAATGGATACATCCTTCTCAATTATGTGTTATTAACTGCGGCTGTGAAATGATTTTCTAACATCATTTCAATCTGAAAATAGGTCAGAGTCGGGAAGCACTAGAGCATTGTAGTGTTTGGAAATGGTTGGTAATATAATTTTGAACATGTTCTTCCGCACGGAAGTGCAGGATCTGGTACCATGTTCGTAATATTTCTCACTATCAGAAAACAGTTTAAGCTAGCAGAGCATTATTGTGCTAACAACTTGAATAGACCACATAGCAAATTTCTCACAAGTACTACAAGATTACTCAATGTATTAATTAACATCGGTTAAGTACGAACTGAACTTGTTAACTAAAAAGGCAAAATATACCACTGTACACAGATTAGAAAACTAAATTTCAACCTTAAATAGGAATTTCTTCAACATATAGAAGTGCTTTGCACTGACATAAAGATGCATAAAGTCACAAATTCAGAACTAAGAATGAAATAAATTTATTTGTAACCCGGTAACACATGGTAATAATTTGACACAACAACTAGATTGAGTAGGGAAGAGGAGAAAGAGGGCATGGATGGAGAGGGAGTCACCTCTGCACGGCGAGGGAGGCAGATATGGAAGTCGCCGACTAGGGAGGCGGATCTGGATGTCTCCAGCAAGGAGGGTGGCCATGAACGACAGAGGCAGGGGGCACTCGATGGTGAGGTGGGCACCTCTAGATTTGGAGGGAGGCGGCAGACCAAAACTAGAAGGCCGATATGGGGGGAGTGGCGGTGTTGGACGGTGGAGGTAGACCGATCGTGGGAGTGGGACTAGTAGCACAATGGGGGCACTACTTGATCATGTTTTAGGTATTTTGACCCAACCCTCCCGATGACAGCGCACGTTATGCGAAAAACACCTCGGGAAGCAAATATCAGTGTGCTTCTCACTTCCCAAATGAAAAAATCACGTGCCCCGGAAGTGAAAAAATCACGTGCCCCGGAAGCGAAATATCTTCGGGTCCCTCGTAGGTATCTTCCTGATAGCCATGTACACTGTCTTGAATTTGTGTAAAGTGATTTGTGACCTGGATATAGTACCGACGCAAATGTTCCATTCCGTTCCTGAAGGTTATTATGAAGAACCTCACGAACATACCACCTTTCGCCTTGGCTGAACATCCACGGCACGAACAGGCACACATTCCTGAAGGAGACTTCGGGGCCATCACAAACGTGCCTAATCATCACCAAAAAGTTAGTTTTGGGTAGTGAATTTGGGTTGGTCAAATAATCTCTGGTAAAATCATCTTTAGATTATTAGCAAGCATCTTCGGAATTAAGTCTACTATCGTGTCATTGTACCCCCTTTGTTATTTGCCTCGAGCTTGTCACGTTGGGGACTTCTTGTGTAATCTTTTGACCCTTCAAAAGCCAATATTTCTTGTAGAAAATTGCATGCAAACCATCCAGGCCTGCGACTTTGAGATGTGAAAATAGTGCGCATCACTTCATCCTCCATAAGTGAATCAGTTGTTCATTTAATTCTTTAGAAACTAACAGGAGAATGTTTTCAAGTAAACAAACATCTATTTTCAGATAGTGAGAAATGTTGCGAAGAAGGTACTAGATGCTACACATCAATGCAGAAGAACATGTTCAAAATTATATTACCAACCATTTCCAAACTCTATAATGCTCCAGTGCTTTTTGGCTCTAAACTATTTTCTCATTGCGATAGTGTTCGAAACTTAGTTCATAGATGTGGTTAATATCATTTAATTGATCAAGAGTCCATTTGGAGATATTTTTGTTACATTCAAATTATCGACCCTACTAGAATAAGGGTCATGCATCATTTATATAATACTTTGTTTACCAATGACCCTATCCACTATAATTTGTTAAACCATACTGACCCTACCATGTTTATTTTTGGAAGTGCGCGATCACTCAATACTTTCGAGATTCCAAGGAGTGAGATCAGCGACTGCATAGTGGAAGATGTTGCACAAAGACCGTCCAGGGTTACATTCCTCGATGTAAGCAGTTGCACCAAGATTGGTGCCCGTGCTCTGGATGCATTTGGCAAGAAATAGAAATCCCTCGTCAGACATCGGCAAGTCATGCACACCATAGATGTCGCTGGGAAGGTGTGCCAGAATCACGAGGCCCATGCTATTGTAAGCAACATGCCAAAGCTCTGCCACCTTGAGATAGGATACATGCTCATTAAGACTATGGTTGTCGTCAAGATCGCCTTCCAGCGCCTTGACCTCAAGTTCTTAGATCTGTGTGGTTGCTGGGACGTTGACGATACGCTCTTGCAACAGAATAGTCCTTGGCTGAAAAGCATCGGCCCCCGCATGGGCGACTGCTATGAGAACCACATCTGCGAGGAGTGCACTGATGACTCGGATGATGAATACTCATGACGTCCATGAACTTTTGCATGAGTAGATGTAGTCATAATCCGAGTCATCGGTGCAATCCTCCCTAAAGCGATTCTGATAGCAGTCACCACACAGCGGCCGATGGTTTTCAGCCCAGGAAACTATCTTGCAAGAGCTTATCTTCGACGTCCCGATAACCGCACAAATCTTAGAACTTGTGGTCATGGCACTCAGAGGCGATCTTCTAAATTACCTTAGTCTTAATGAGCATGTTTCCAATCTAGAGGTGGTGGAGCTTTGGAATATTGCTGGCAGTAGCATGGGCGTCCTCATTCTGGCAAACCTTCGCAACGACATCTAGAGGTTGCATGACTCACCGAAGTCTGACAAGGGTTTTGCAGTTCTTGCCAAATGGCTACATAGCACGGGCGCCAATCTTGGTGTAGCTGCATACGTCCAGGAATGTTACCTTGGGAACTCTTCGTGCAAGATCTTCTTCTATGCAGTCACTGATCTCGCTCCTCGGAATCTTCAAAGTATTGGGAGATTGTGCACCGGCAAAAGGAAACACTATAGAGTCAATAACGTTTAAAAAAATGTTGATAGGGTCATCAGTAAACAAAGTATTATATATATATGATGCATATACCTTGTTCTAGTAGCGTCCATAATTTGAATGTAACAAGAATATTACCAAATAGACACATCATGCTCAATTAAGTGTTATTAACTGCGGCTATGAAATGAGTTTCTAACATCATACCAATCAGCACATAGATCAAAGCCGGGAAGCACTAGAGCATTGTAGAGTTCGGAAAGCGTTGGTAATATAATTTTGAATATGTTCTTCTGCACAGATGTGAAGGATCTGGTACCATGTTCGTAATATTTCTCACTATCAGAAAACAAATTAAGCCAGCGGAGCATTATTGTGCTAGCAACTTGCATAGACCACACAACAAGTTTATCCCAAGTACTACAAGATTACTCAATGTCTCAATCACCATCGTTTAAGTACAAAATGAAACTGTTAACTAAAAAGGCAAAATGTACAACTGTACACATATTAGAAAACTAAATTTCAACCTTAAATAGCAATTTCTTCGACATATAGAAGTTCTTTGCATGGACTTTAAGATGCATAAAGTCACAAATTCAGAACTAAGAATGAAATAGATTTATTTGTAACTCTGCAACACATGGTAATTATTTGACACAACTACTAGATCGGGTAGGAATGAGGAGAAAGAGGGCATGGACGGGGAGGGAGTCACCTCAGCACGGTGAGGGAGGCGGATCTGGAAGTCGCCGACCAGGGAGGTGGATCTGGAAGTTGCCCACCAGGGAGGCGGGTCAGGACATTACCGGCAAGGAGGGTGGCCCTCGATGGCAGGGGCAGGGGGCGCTTGATGGCGAGGATGGCCGCGTTCGACGCACAACTGGGGCCGCGACAGGGATGGCAGCGTTCACCGCGTCCGATGCCGCCCGATGTGAACCCGCAACTACTAACTGCTACTCTCTCTTTCTCACTTTCTTTGTTTGTTGTGCTCAAACACACTAGTGAAACATATACTCATTGGTGTAGCATATACACGCCACACACATACGAGGAGGATTGGTAGTACTACTATTAAGCTCTTTGGCTGATGGAGTGGAATTACAACGGGAGGAGTGGTGCTGTTTATATAGCACTTACAAACCGACCTATGGTACGCATGTGCTGACGTCAAGTATCTAAATGACATCATGGCTTACGTTCTAGCCTATTTGCTTCACTGCTAAGACACGGCAGCTCTACTGGTAAAAGAAAAAAAAACTACTGCTGCTACCGCTGTGCGACACCTGACACCCGAAGATAATCCTGCCAACATGCATGCATCTAGTAATACTAGAGGGATTCGCGCGCCTTGGTGCGCGGGTTTTCGGTCATGTGTGAGCTGGTTTATTTTTCTTCCACGTACGGTTCTATCTGGTTTTATTTTTTACTGGTTCAGTCGTAAGTAGCTCCATTCAGTTTGGTTTTGCGATGTTGGTTCGGAGCTTGTGAGGACGTGTACCAAATCCGTGTGCCGCTGGTGAGGCTACATGTCTTAGGTCTGTTAGTGGGGCGGTTGGCTGGCCGTGCACGTGCGTGCTGACATGAGGTGTTGTTTTGGGATGCTCTTTCTCCTACAGAGCAGAGATGACACTTCCTCAGCGGGATTGTGGGCTGCCATTGGTCGCCGGCTCTTTGGTGGCTCATCTTGTCTCCTGAGATGCCACGTCCGCTCATTGTTTTTTTTCTTGTCATCGATTGATATATTTGCTCAGCGTATGCATTATTTCTTGCTATGTCGGTGAGTTGAGATTTTTATGTGCTCTTATCTCTGTAGGAAAGTGTTTTGGTCACTGTTTCTCGCCGCTTGATATAGACACGGTGGTTGAGCACGGGGTAATTTCCTATGGCGGAGAAAGTGATGCCCCTGCCATGCCATCATGGTTGTAGGGTTGTTCTGGGTGTGAAAGGGCATGATACGCGAGCTTTCTGGGCCGAGGATTCGACTTTGTAGCTGAATCATGCGCTAGGCAAGTATGTTGCCTCTTACAAATTTAAAATAAAAACGTTTAGAAACTAAAGTCTTCCAATACATGTGAAAAACGAGGTAAGATCATGTGTACTTCCTCCGTTCCTAAATGTAAGTCTTTGTAGAGATTTCGCTATATGGACTACATACGAAGCAAAATGAGTGAATGTACACTCAAAATCCATCTATATACATCCGTATGTGATACATAGTGAAATCTCTACAAAGACTTATATTTAGGAACGGAGGGAGTAGTATATACTGTTAAACACGGACTGGCAATACGTACTGTATTAATGCATGCATAAAAGGGAAAATTATGACTTCATATGTAGCCATTATAATGTTGCTGAAACAAAATTTCCTGACAAACTGTTGTCCAGGAGAAGCCGACCGCAAGTGTCCACCTGAGTATCAGTTTGAGCTTGCTAAAAAAACAAACTGCAAAAATTCAATGATCGAAAAAAACTCTAGAGCTTCATGAAGGGAAATAAAAAAATGCACCAAGATTAGATAATCAAATGGGTATGTTTTACCTAGTGCTTGCTGTGCGATGCAACCATCCGCAGCTAAGGGCGACCTAGTCTATAGAAGAAGTTCAGAAAATATTGGCAAGACAATATAGCCTACACTGATGGAAAAAAAGATACAAATTGAAGGGATCAGCTAAGCAGATTGCACATTAAATGATGTGGTGTTGAACTAAAATGTAGACCATGCCAAAGTTGATCTATGCATTCTTCGATATAAAAAAACGGGGTTTGATCTGACTTCATCTCATATTTAGTCTCTCCCTGAGAGCGCACAGCAGAATGAAGCTACAATCCCAGGTTGACTTGACCAATCCAAAGCATAACATGGATTGTTAATAAAAGTCACTATTTTTCATTCAGATCTTCAGTAAAAATGCCCATCAAATAAAGGAAGTGAAGATCTTCCTTTTCACAAGAAGATAGGCTAAACCAATTCAGATTATAATTATTAAGTGAAGCTGGACGCATTTGGTTAAGATCAGAAAATACACACTATTGTAGCTGGAATTTTTTGGCCCTACAACAGAGCACGGAGCAAAGCTACCAATGACATCAGAAAATATTAAGGCTGGCCGGGTGTACCTGAACTTGACGCCTGAAGTGGCTGCCTACTAAAGGAGCAGTGCTATACGGACGATAAAACACAGACGATTCACGCACGACAGTGAAATCCAGCCACACATGCAGGTGTACAGGAGAGCAACGGCCGCTGGATACTTAGTCGTCTTCACATCGTGTACGCTTTTATCGTGTGTAGAGCAGTTTCGCTACTAAAGTAAGAGCACTAGGTGTAAGATTCCTCAAAAAGTTGACATTGTGCTCGGATGTCAATGCATTTTTTTAAACAGCCTTGTTGATGTGTTGCAAGTTCAAGATGGACCAATGTGGCAGTATCAAGAAGGAACTGCGGCAACTATAAAGCACTCACAAGTTGGTACAAAATGGATGATGAGAAGTTATATGCATTGCAAAGAATTAATGGCCTGTGCAAGATGCTTTTATTGGTTAATGCAGAAGGATATTTAGCTATATCAAGAAAAATAGAATAATATAGCAAAGGGCCTAAGAAAACATAAATGAATTGAGTACCGATTAGGAAATTGTGCCAATCTACTGCAAGAAATAAGTCAACAGGGTGATTCAAAAAAATGGAAGACGTAGTTACCAATTCTTATTTGTTGGTACATACTCGGTAGCAAATAAGTTATTAAATTTCAGTTACACCTGGGAATCAAAGTATATTTAGATCCTCCTGCAACAAACATGCTGGAAAACCATCTTTTATCAGAATATGGGATGAAGCATATTGTGGTTACTTTGAAAACAAAATGAAATGGCACTTGATCAGAAAATTTCTTACTCACTAAGTATGTATTGAGATCAACAAGCGTCAGACATCTGTTTATTTGTAGTCACTCTATTTTCTTAAAGGGTAGGATGAGGTGTTCATAGTGTGTTCCCTCAGTGTAGAACTGAAAATAATTACAATGGGACACCATTTTTTCATGCAAGATTTGCAATGTAGATGGTACTCAATGCTTTCCATGATTTAATTGATTGTCCAATTGTTTCTAAGCATGACTTCACTGTGCACATTGGTTCTTTAATACAACCCACTTGAAGGCATATAATGTGTGAAGGTACAAAATTACCATAATTAAATCGGATCATCGGCAGAAACTTACTGCTTTGGGCTCCCATAATAGTTGCTGCAGGCATTAGTTTGCAACATGAAAGTTTTAGCAATCATCTTTGGAATTAAGTCTACTATGGTGTCTTTGCACCCCCTCAGTTATCTGCCTCGAGTTTGTCACATCGGGGACTTCGTGCGTAATCTTTGGACCCACCAAATGCCAATATTTCTTGTAGAAAATTGCAACAAATCGTCGGGCCTGCGGCCTTGTAGAAAAGTTTCATGAGTAAATGTAGTCATCATCTGAGTAAT